AACACTTTCACTATATGTAACTGCGAATATCAGTTACGACCTTTTTAGGCTAGCTAACACTTTCACCATATGCAACTGCGAATATCAGTTACGACCTTTTTAGGCTAGCTAACACTTTCACTATGTCACTTCAGCTACCACCGGATACCACTCACTTCACTTCACTTGTTATCAAAACGACATTCTATACAAATATACTAAGAGTGATAAACATGCTAAACAACTATATTAATACACGTTTTCACCCAGTTTTGTTCGTAATTTCATTATTAATACAAAAAACAATATTCTTTATAACTTTGTTTCTTAACGATGTTAGGCCGTCGCGAACATCTCTCCCGCAGTGCAGCGTCGCGACGATTTTCTCACAGCGGCGCTGCATCCATTTCGGTGAGCGACGTTGCTTCTACTTCGGCAGCGGCACGAGTTTCCTGGTTGGCCTCTTGATTAGGCCGTTTGCTGTGCGTACCTCCACAGTGCGGATCTGTCCGTCCGCACCGGGGTAAACAGCTTCCACCCTCCCTCGTGGCCAGGTGTTACGAGGTAACTGGCCGTCAGCTATAAGGACTGGATCGCCCACCTGGAGATTGGGACCACGCCCATGGGCCTCCCGCCGGTTTTGAAGTTCCGGTAGATACTCTCGGACCCAACGCTGCCAGAACATGTCAGCGAGTATCTGGGAGCGTCGCCAGTGTCTTTTGCTATTCATATCCTTTTTCTTCCAGAGAAGCGCTGTTTCTATGTGCCCGTCTTGTAACTGACGGGTGCTGCTATATAGTATATCTTCAGCTTTCTTCTCTGGATCGGAGTCTGGTCTTCTCGGATTGATAATGAGAGATTCCAGCGCGAAATATTCGCGGAGTTGGTCATCAATAGTTCCCTCGCTCTTGTGCAGCTCATTGGCCGCGTGGACGCGCTGATATGGGGCTTTAGTGTGTGCCCCGTGTAGCACCCATTCTAATTCTGTGAGCGAGGAAATTGGCTGGTGCGGCGGACCTCTTCGGATTTGAGTGGCTATCAGAAGTCTCCAATTGTCCTGTCCTATTAGGATCCTTGGGTTGCCGGAGTCATATATTAGCTGCTCCTTTAGGTCTTTCAAGTGGTTGCACGTGGCTATGTCTACTGCACGCACAGTCTGTGGCCCCAAGTTTAGGCTTGCGACCGTGCGTGCTCTGAATGGCACCCTTTTGCTGTGGAGACTCTTCAGCGATACTTTGATTCTTCGGGATTCCGGTGAATCGAGGGTAGTGTTCCCGATAGCGGTGATCTTAAACGGGTCCAACCGCCCTGTAGCTCCAATTTGTTTGGCGATCTCTTCATCCATTAGTGAAACTGTTGACCCATCATCCAGCAGGGCGTGTGTGTTTACAGCTCCCGCCGGTCCAATTACTCGCACTGGAATTATTTTTAAATAGGCTTGATGCTTTGACACAGCGAATGAGTTAGCTACGGTTTCTTGAGGTTCTTTTTGTTTGACCTCAGTCTTCTCCTTTGTATTGTTATGGAGAAGTCGATTGTGTGCCGCGGTGCATCCTTTTATTCCACACTTATTGGTTTTGCATTTGTGTGTCTGATTTGTATAACGTAAACAGCGGAAACATAAATTATTTTGCTTTGCGAGTTCCCATCTTTTGTTGGTATATTTAGTCTTAGGAAGCAAATCCTTAAATTTTTTACATTCGGATCCGTAGTGACCCTCCTTTTCGCACACTCTGTATTTCGGAGACGGCTTAGTAGTAGCCGCGTGTGCTCTATGTACTGAACGATTGCTTTGTGCTTCGTTTATAATTTCTGGAGGCGCAAATGCACTGCAGAAGCGAGCTTGCTCGGTAATAAACTCGCTGAAGCAGCCGAGGTCTGGTCTAGAGTCATATTTTTCGGTGTAGATTCTATACCACTGGGCACGTATAGAGTTTGGCAGTTTGTCGGTGAGGTGTCGTAGCAGCTCTGCGTTGACGAGGTAATGATCTCGCTTTAGGGCTCGAAGAGTGACGACGCTTCCCCCTCACTTTGCTCGCGAATGTGCAGATGTCTCTGGGCGCTTCTGTACAACGTGCTAATCCGCGTAATTTCTCGGTTTCTGCTTGCGCGATTGAATCTGGACGCCCAAATTGTAGCTCCAGTTCTCGCATAATCTCATCTGGCTTAGCATGCCTGAGCATGAGTTCTGAACTGACTGTTTCCAAGGCTCTTCCTTGTAGACTTCGTCTTAGTCTAGCAGTGTTTTCAATGTCATTGAAGTAGCCTCGGGTTGTTTCGTAAATGGCACGGAATGAAAGCCACTCGGTATGTGCTCCGCTAAAGCTTGGCAGTGTCATTATAGCTTTCGACGCTGCGAAAGTATGCGACGATAGTGGCGCACTCTCTAACTTTGATTTGTCAGCGAGCGCGGCTATAGCGGATGTGAGCTCCGATATAAATGGACGGAGCCCTCTGTCTTCACTTATGACGGGTTCCTGGCTAGGTTTCTTTGGATTGGGATCCTTTTGTACATCTTCTGGATAGGAATCCTGGTTTGTGAGCTCTGATACAATCGGTAGGAGCCCCCTGTCTTCATTAATGGTGGGTTCCTGGCTGAGCTTCTGTGGCATGGGATCCTTTTGTGCATCTTCTGGATAGGAATCCTGGTACGTGAGCTCTGATACAATCGGTAGGAGCCCTCTGTCTTCATTAACGGTGGGTTCCTGGCTGAGCTTCTGTAGCATGGGATCCTTTTGTACATCTTTTGGATAGGAATCCTGGTTCGTGAGCTCCTTTTGGGGCTCACTGAGGTCGACAACGTCCGGGGTTGGCTTTGTGACGGTTTTATTAAATGGGGCCTTCCCTCCGGTGGTTGCGCCTTGATTTGACTTTTGTTTGGCTACAGAGTTTTCGAGCCAAGATCGAACGTACTCACTTTTGGAGTGACCACCTTCATCATAGTCGTCTGATTCGTCTTCTTCTTCAGCCATCTGTAAGGAGATCTGCGCAAGTTCTAGTTCGATCTTCAATACTTCTTCACGAGCCTTCAAAATTCTTCTATTGGGCCGAACAGTCTTCTTTGACTTCGTACTGCAATCGGTGTGGCCCCTCGGTGGCTCTTCGGTGTGGGTGTCTTCCCGGGCTGGTGGCGATGATGCACGGCTAAAGTCATCGTTGCCTTCTATATGTTCCCTCTGCTTCGTTGTGCGGGCCGTAGTAGACGGCTCGGGCAGGGGTATCCCCCCTCTGGGGGAAGCATGGCGCCTCAGCGCCCTCTATCGTTGACGGTGAGCGTGGTGGCATCTGGTGGTGGACGGCGGCGTTACTGGCCGACGAACCTCCTTCCAGACCGACGGTCCACGCCTTGGCTTCCCTTCCTTGCGAACGGGTGATCGGCATCTTGAATCTTTTTCGGCGGTTTTAATACGGTGGTGACTATTTACCCGGTTCCGAAATACAAACGGATATATCCGGCTCGAAGGACCAACGAATGTGCCGGACGGGCGAAACTCTCCGGAGTAAATGTTGTCGAAGATACTTCGCGAGTCGCTCACGTCCTACACCTATAGGTTCCGGTGGGTACTTTCACTGCCGTCTTTGTTGTTGCCGCTGAAATATTGTGGACTGAGGTTCAAATCAAAATGCACCATTAATAAATACAAATAGCAAGGTAGTGGCCAGCGGTTCGACTGATTAATTAGTCGCGAAATTTTATAACTATTGACCACGGTTGAACTACGGTTGTTCACTATTGGTTGGTCACTGTATATTTCAAAAGATTTCTTTAAATTGTACGGTGGTATCAAATATCTATTGGTAGTAGCTGGTTTTCTAACACTACTGACTAGCAGCTATTATCAACTAAACTAGCTGATTTTATCACTTGTGTAACTGCGGATATCAGTTACCACTTTGACTATATGTAACTGCGAATATCAGTTACGACCTTTTTCGGCTAGCTAACACTTTCACTATATGTAACTGCGAATATCAGTTACGACCTTTTTAGGCTAGCTAACACTTTCACTATATGAAACTGCGAATATCAGTTACGACCTTTTTTAGGCTAGCTAACACTTTCACTATGTAACTGCGAATGTCAGTTACGACCTTTTTCGGCTAGCTAACACTTTCACTATTCACTATATACTGCTACTAGTCACTTCAGCTACCACCGGATACCACTCACTTCACTTCACTTGTCACTGGTAGTTCTTCACACTACTGCGGGTACTGGGTCCCGAGCCCCTAAGGTAGACTTTAGCAATACTTTACAGTGAGCCGCTTGCCATTTTCCGTTTTGCCTCTTTATTGCATAAACTTTTCACTATACAAATGACATAAATTGCAATATTCTCTATACAAAACTAATTGCTACACTAACATGCTATACATCATTAAATCGGTAGTCTGGTACTTTATTAGTATATCATAAAGGTTACTAAAAACATTAACATTGTAAAAAGTTATTAAACGAAATGTCCCAAATTTTCATAATATTTGGGTACATTAATTCTTTAATTTTTATATAACTATCAAATGCGTTTAATTATACAAAATATTCCTACACTTCTTTAATCTATAAGCCATATGCTAATTCAGTGTCATATTTGTAACTCTTTTAGAACATAAAATTATTTTCATTATTTTTAGTTTGAACTATTACGCAGTTAATTAAAAACTTCTAGAGAGTTCTACGATAAGACGCGTTGTGATTGGTCGATTTTTCTTAATATAATAAAAGTTGTTTACATTACTTGTTATCAAAACGACATTCTATACAAATATACTAAGAGTTATAAACATGCTAAACAACTATATTAATACACGTTTTCACACAGTTTTGTTCGTAATTTCATTATTAATTCAAAAAACAATATTCTTTATAACTTTGTTTCTTAACGTTGTTAGGCCGTCGCGAACAGTAAATCTGTATAGGCTTTTTATGTCACTTACCATATCCGAAACATGTTTATTTGTATTGGTCAATGTACAAATTGTACATTGATTGTTTCAATAAAATAAAAAATAAATTTCAGAATCGGAAATTCGGACCTCCGTCCTTTCGGTGCCTTAAGGTAGCAGCGGTCAAAAAGGCGCATGAGAGCGAGCTGAAGCAGTCGGTATTGGTTGACTTGACCAGACCAAGTGACTCCTTTGAGGTAATTTATTTCACAATTTTTTTTTTAAATAGTCATCGATGACCATTTATTTTGTTAATCCTATTTCACAATACTTCTAACTTTTTTCGATAAAATATAGCTTAGGATGAGCTAGCTATAAAACTAGGTTAAGTTTGAGATTAAAAAAGGCAGGAAGCGACAGTAGCCTGATGGCAGGGCGCGGATCGCGAACACAAAAGGTCGTGGGTTCGAATCCGCCATTTGACTACTGTCGTGAAGCACTGCTAACACAAGTATTTCAAGTTTACTAGGAGTGGTTAAAAGGAATATTAGTAATGTTAATAAGATTACGAATATAAAAAATAAATAAAAAAAGGCATAGAAAATCAACTACCTTAATCGGTCTTTCGGTAATAAGGAACTTGAGTTACTAAAACTTAAAACTTAAAAAAAATCTACTATAAATTAATCACACTGTAAATAATATTTATATTTAGGAATCATGCTATTATCCGTTTTGCGTAACCTAGGCGGGCAAAACGAATTTGTTCGGGCAAAACGGTTAGAAACTAATGATCATTATTTTATCAAAGCAATCATCACAAAAATATGATCATACACCCATATAAGAGGAACATTGTATGTGGTAGAGCCACGCTGCAGCTATATTATGGTCGTAGCACGAATGGTTCGGCTCGACCGGGGAAGGACCACGCTCTCACAGAATACCAGCGTAAAATAACAGAATAATAGTGCTGTGTTTCGTATGGTGAGTGTAGAGATCCGGGGACCCTATTTTACTGAAAACGAGGCATTCCATCCTAGTCCTCAGGGGTGACAACGTATCTGCGTTTTGATTCTTGATCGAGGATAAATGTGCCACAGCATCCGCTTACCTTCAGGTGGACTGTGTGCTCATTTGTCACCCTCATTCTATTAAAAAAAAGGTGGCGCGCGTATCGTTACCCAGAAGGACCAGCTGGAACATGGAACTTTTCCGTTGAAGGGTAATTTAGCTGTAATCGCCACGCTTGTAAGGTTTGGCGATTACATTATTAGACTTTCATTCACTTTTGACGTTTCCCGTTTCTTTATTTTACGTCTCGCTGAAACGAGATGGTTATGATCATCAGATGCCATAAGAATAGAATAGAATCATTTTGTATTCAATATAGATTAAAGTTAAGTTAAAGTTACAGACTATATACGTCCCACGGCTGGGCACAGGCCTCCTCTCATATCTGAGAGGGTTTTAGAGCAAGGAAGTGTCCGCCGCGCCCCCCAATGAGTGTTGGCGAATCTCGGCATGTGTCGCCCTGGATCTAGTCTTCCAGTCAGTCAATGTAGGCAAAACATAATTTTCTTTACGCACAGTGCAGAAGTAGTCCTGCTCTGGTTGTTTATGGACCCTTTTATTAGTTAGGACTTTTTTCCGTCAATGTTGGATGGTCCAGGCGTGGTTTCTAGTTCAAGAGCCACTTTCTTCTTAGCAGAGGCTACATAAGGCTTCATTTACTGCTCCAACTTTACAAGAGTGCTGGTCAGTACTTCTGCGTTTTGTGTCTTGCATCCTCCATTATTCCTCTTCTTTACTTCTATCGGGATTCATCTTATGTTTTGAAGAATATCAGGATATATCGGCCAATGCAGAACCCTCTGTATTTTCTAATTCCTCTCCAGAGGCTTTAGGAGACAGTTCAATGCGTGATGGTTCTGCAATAGGAAGCTTGTTTTCTTTCGAATAGCTCTGTGAGTTAGTCTGTGGTACATCCTTTCAATAATAATAATAATAATTAATTATTTATTTGCCTCAAATCTTTTAACAATTAAATGGAACCCTGGCTGCTAAACTAGTTGCAATAACTGTATCTTAGAAACAAGTGTCTTCCCCTATTAGTGGTACAATTACAATAGATTCTGGCGAATTAAGAATAATTGGGATTCAGTTAATAATTAACTAACATACAGTAAATGAAAACAAGTAATGAGAAAAAAAATGCCGCGTGGATAGTAGTCATGTGCGTGCGTACAAGCGTGGTGTGTGTGTGTGTGCTTGCGTGCGTGCGTGCGTTCGTGAGTGCGTGCTTGCGTGCGCGTGTCGATACACTGGTATCGCATCGCTGTCTACATGTGTAAGCAACTTTTTTTGTCGATAAACAAATCATCATAGTCTGCATAAGTTCAGTATTGGTAAAAGTGATTATTAGTGTTTTTTAATTCATCACAGCCCTTCACAAGTCCACTGCTGAACATAGGGCTTCCCCAAGAAATGACACAAAGCAAGGTCCTGAGCCACTTGCATCCATCGACTTCCTTCATGTCTTACCAGGTCGTCACTCTATCTAGTGCGGTGTTGCTCTGCATTTCACCCATCGGTACGAGGCTGTCACTCGAGAACCTTTTTTCTCCATTGGTTATTGATTCTTCGAGCTATATGGTCCATTGCTACTTCAGCTTACTAATCCGATGGGCTATGTCGGTCACTCTGGTTCTACTGCGGATATCCTCATTTCTAAGTTTATCACGCAGGGAAACCCCGAGCATAGCCCTCTCCATAGCTCGCTGAGCGACCTTGAGCGTCCTCATACGGTCAGCAGTGAAGGACCATGTCTCAGATCCGTAAGTCATCTTTGGCAATACGCACTGGTTGTACAATCTAGTTTTCAGGTTTTGAGGTATACCTGACGAGAAGATGTGCCGTAATTTCCCGAACACTGCCCAGCCGAGTTGAATCCGTCGATTGACCTCTCGGTCGAAGTTGGACTTATCTAGTCGGACTATTTGTCCCAGGCAAGCATACTCGTCAACACCTTCGAACTTAGTGCTCCCAACAACTACCGGCATAGGTGTGATATGGACATAAAACTTGATCTTTGTTTTGTTCATGTTCATCTTAAGTCCTATCCATTGGGAGACCTTATTGAGGTCATTGAGCATAGTACTTAGGCCCTCCAGTATTTCTAACATAAGGACTATATCGTCGGCAAATCGAAGGTGAGTGATGTACTCGCCATTGATGTTAATACCGTATCCTTTCCAGTCCAGTAGCTTGAAAATGTCTTCCAATGCAGCGGTGAAGAGTTTCGGAGATATAACATCACCCTGTCTTACACCTCTCTGCAGTTGGATAGGTTTCGTACTCTGGTTCTGTACTTGGATAGCCATCGTAACCTTACTGTACAAACACTTCAGCTCTTCGATGTACCGACAGTCAACTTGGCATCGCTGAAGGGACTGTAGCACCGCCCGAATCAAAGGCTTTCTCATAGTCCACATACGCCAGGCAAAGTGGCAGATTGTGCTCTTCGGTCTTCTATACAATCTGCCGCAGGGTTCGTATGTGGTCTATGGTACTGAAGCCGTTTCAGAAACCGGCTTGTTCGGGAGACTCGAAGTCGTCGAGTCTGCCAAACTCCTTTTTAAAAGGCTGGCAACTCCCCTGGTGTTTCAGTTGCTCATGGGCGGCGGTAATCACTTACCATCAGGTGAGCCGTATGGTCGTTTACCCCCTCTCCTATAAAAAAATGGAGGAAGGAATTGAAGAGCTTCTGAAGGATTTTAAGTACCGGTGTTCCACCCGCTTTCAGAAGCTCCGCTGTAATTCCATCCTCACCCGGGGACTTCAGATACTCAGTCTTCAGCTTTGACAATTGGCTCTTTCTGGCAGACAGGTCTCAGGCAAAGGCTTTGGAGCCCTGGATCCGCTCGATCGCTTCTTCAATACGAGCAGTATTAAAGTTGCGTAAGTCTCGCCGCATGCATTTGGAGATCTGTCTGTTCAGTTGCCTGTATTCTGTCAAATCTACTGACGACTTCAGCTTCATCTCCTGTCTAACAGCCATGAGATTAAGAGTGTGATCAGAGAGTTTTTGTGTTCTGCGGTGGGTCTTGCAGAACTTTACTCCGACCGCATGGACAGTTTCTACGAGCTTGTCATTCATATCGTCCACTGCATTGCAATCTTATAAGCATTGAAAACAGTTTTGTAACTCGAGCTTAAAGCTTTCGGGACTCTGGATTAGAACTCGAGGGGGATGGAGCGTTGACTTCATTAGACGAGACCTCCAACTTAATGTTTAGGTTTAGTGTGCGTCTAACCATTCGGTGATCGCTGCCAGTTTTCATCCTTGCGATCACTGAGACGTCACTGAACAGTTGGCGTCTGGTCGTCATAATGAAGTCAATCTCATTTTTTGTCAAAGCGTCGGGGCTCGACCAGGTCCACTTTCTGTGGGGCCGCTTCTGGAAGAGAGTTCATCATAAAGAGTCCCTCTTTCTCTATGAAGTCGGCCAGCTGCTGGCCCCTTGAGCCCCCATTCTTTCTTGTGCCGCCTAGCTTTGCGTTGAAGTCTCCCATCAACACCGTATAATGGGTTTTGGAGAAAAGCATGGCTCTAGAAATATCCTCATACATTTCCTCCACCTCCTCATCGGGATGTACCGACGTATAAGAACTACGTAATGGCAAAGACAATAAAAAAGATAAATGGATATCTACGCATACATGCTTATATGTTAAAGTTACAGCCTATATACGTCTCACTCCTGGACTTTACTTCTGGGTTTTTAGGGCAAGGAAGTGTTCGCCGCGCGAATTTCACATGTCTTCGAAATATTTATTTTTCTTATTTCTCAGACATGCAGGTTTCCTCACGATGTTGTCCTTCAGCCGGATATGATAGAGTTTCACTCGAAATGCTAAGGGCTGGAGAGGACGTGGTGGCGGGCCTGCTGCACACCTTGTTTAATTTATGCTGGGAACTGAAGCGGGTACCGGTAGACTGGTGCAAAGCCGTGATAGTCCCAGTATATAAGGGAAAAGGGTCACAGCAAGACTGTAAAAACTACCGTGGTATCAGCCTTCTTAGCATTGTGGGAAAACTGTATGCTAAGGTACTGATTGAAAGAGTTATGAAAGAAACTGATGAAAAAATTTGGGATGTGCAAGCGGGATTTAGAAAGGGAATGGGGTGTACAGATCAAGTCTTTTCCATGCGCATAATCGCGGAGATGTTTTTGGCGAAAAATCTAAAAGTTTTTTGTGCGTTCATGGACTTGGAAAAAGCTTATGACAGAGTGGACAGGGATGTGTTATGGCAAACGCTGAACGCATTTAGGTTGAGCGCTGGTTTGATACAGGCATTAAAGTCTCGGTATAGGGACTCGAGTGCTTGTGTTAGAATCAACGGGGTCTACTCGGACTGGTTTGGCATCCATAAAGGTGTCAGACAGGGCTGTGTGGCTTCCCCGTGGCTGTTCAACCTATTTATGGACAGCTGTTTGGAAAATTTGAAAGTTGAAGAATGCGAGTTAAGAATGGGTGAGTTAACCATCAAATGCCTTTTGTACGCCGATGATCAAGTCATACTTGCGTCGTCGGCGGCCGAGTTGCAAATGATGGTTACATTAATGAACAGGTCATTAAAAGAAAGGGGAATGAAAGTGAACGCAAGTAAGACGAAAGTAATGGTTTTTGAAAGAGATGAAAGCAAGACGGTATGTGAAATAAGAATAGAAGGAGAGTTAATTGAGCAAGTGGATGAGTTCGTATATTTGGGATGTGTATTCAGCAGGGATGGGAGATATGATAAGGATATTGAACGACGAGTGAATGCAGGAAATAAAGTAAATGGGGCTCTACACTCTATTGTGAAAAGTCAGAATGTGTCAAAAAAGGCACGTATGGCAATTCACAGTGCTGTATTAGTCCCTACTTTAACGTATGGTAGTGAAAGTTGGGTGTGGCAGAAGAAGCACGAGAGTAGAATAAATGCAGTAGAAATGCGGTCGCTAAGGAGTATGTTAGGGCTGAATCTGAGTGACAGGGTGAGAAACTGTGTGATAAAAGAAGAGTGTCGTTTGCAAGATGATGCGATGACCAGGATTAAGAAAGGAATGCTTCGGTGGTTTGGTCATGTAGAAAGAATGAATGCGGAAAGACTGACAAAGCAAATATATGTTGCAGAAGTGAATGGAAGAGTCGGAAAGGGACGTCCTAGGCGGAAGTTTGTCGACCAAATTGCCGATATACTAAAAATGGGCCAAATTAAGAGTACCCTTAACCGACGAGCATGTATGCGTAGGTATGTGGATGTGGAAGAGGCGAGAAAGGTATGTCAGGATCGTGCTAAATGGAAGTCTGTAGTCATGATGATGATAAACGTCGGGAATTAAAAATAAGTAAAAGTAGTGAAATAAACGCGATAAAATCCGTAAATTTATTCAATGTGTAGTGTTCGCGTAAATTTAAGAAATCAATAAAATATGTGTCAAAATATTTTACGGTCCACCTAATGGTAAGTGGCCACTATAGCTCATGGGTTATTAACGTCAAAAAAAAAGCTAGAGATGTGTTGGCCTCTGAGGACTAAGGTGGAATGCCTCACAGTCATTAATGGACGGATCCGTACGGCGGTGGCTTGGCAATGAGTTGCGACGCTGGGGGCCACGGGTACGAATTCCGCACTGAACTAGTTCTTATTTGTATGGCCTACTAATAATTGTTCGATGTCTTTATGTTTGTCCCTATGAAATTTATGTATGTAAACTGCCTCCACTGCCAACACTAAGGGCCGTGGTAGCTCAGATAGTTAGCGCTCGTTGTAAATTTCATAGTACGCGAGCAAACCGGGTTCGATCCCCGCCGGCGCCAATGAAATTGTTAATTGCAATTTTAAGTGCTGATTCACCATGTGCACGGTGAAGGAAAACATCGTGAGGAAACCTGCATGTCTGAGAAATAAAAAAAATATTTCGAAGACATGTAAAGTTCGCCAACACGCGCAAGCGCAGTGGACACTTCCATGCCCTAAAACCCTCTCAGAAATTAGGGGAGGCCTGTTGCTCAGCAGTGGGACGTATATAGGCAGTAACTTTAACTTTTAATTGCCTCCATTATGCAGAAGAAAATCGTAGTGTGGGGTAACTTTATTTTAAATCAAAAAAAAAAAATACTTTCTATACTCTTTAGACCAGCAATAGGAAAGACTGATTGTGATACCGAAGTGGTACCGGTCAAAGTTCTAGACAGAAAAGAAAAGTCTAACCACCTAGTATAAAACTACCAAATTGCTTGTCATATTTTTAAAATTTTGTTCATATTCACTTGCAGGTTATTAAAAGTTATGCGGTCGCCCATCGATCACGTCGTACGACCCTTGCGCGGCTCGCCGAGAAATATGGGAATTCCTTGTACATGAAGCCAATTGTGAGTAAAATATTCATTCATTGATTCATGTATGGTAGTGAAAGTTGGGTGTGGCAGAAAAAGCATGAAAGATTCATGAGAGAAGAATAAATGCATTAGAAATGCGGTCCCTGAGGAGTATGTCAGGGCTGAATCTGAGTGACAGGGTGAGAAATTGTGTGATAAAAGAAAAGTGTGGTATGCAAGATGATGTTGTGACCAGGATTAAGAAAGGAATGGTTTGGTTATGTAGAAAGAATGAATGAGGAAAGAGTGACAAAGCAAATTTATGTTGCAGAAGTGAATGGAAGAGTCGGAAGGAACGCCCTAGGCGAAAGTTTATCGATCAAATTGGCGATACATTGAAAATGGACCAAATTAGGAGTACCCTTAACCAACGAGCATGTATGCGTAGATATATGGATGTGAAAGAGGCGAGAGAGGTGTGTCAGGATCGTGCCAAATGGAAGTTTAAAAACTTTAGTCTCTGCCTAGCCCTCTCGGTGCCAGACGGGAGTGTTTATGTATTTCTCATTCATTCACTTATCATTCATATATTCATTCATACATTCATTCATTACAGTCAATCAAAAGTCCACCGCTGGAAACATATATCCCCTAGAGATTATTTTATTGGGAGATATTTACTACAATTGTCACACTCGGCAGCAGAGTGGGCAAGTACAGCTTTTTTTAATTCTGAGTCGTCATGGGAGATGGGGTCGTTCATCTTCTGTTTTATTTCGAGACTCCACTTGAGTCAATGCGCTACTTTTTCCAGGTTTAAAAAAAAAATAGTAGGCAACGAGCATGCGGCTCACATGGGACAGGAAGTGACTATCGCCGCCCATGAACAACTGTAACAGCATAGAAATATCCCTGTTACGTATTTTCAGCCTTTTAAAAAAGAGCCCACTACGTTGGACCGGGGGACAAAAGGTTTCTGTCCGTCGCCTGTTACAAAACTTACAGGATATTGAGGGGTAGTGGACACTCTAATGAAAAATAATGAATAAATTACGTTTTACATAACGATTTCTTATATTTACGCGCACACAAAAAGAATTTGTCTCCTTTTACATAGATGAACAGTCAGACTCGGAACTATTATTTATAGACCAAATAAACTATATATATATTCGAAATCGCGGTTCCGTAGCACCCCAAACGTACGCTAATCAATTCGTTACCGAGCACTTTTACAAAACGTAAATTATTGATTATTAACCTAACTACTTGTTTAACTACTTTTACGGATTTTATCGCGTTTTATTTATTTGATTTTTAATACCCGACGTTTCGTGTGCTTTCCAGTACCCATGGTCACGGGGGACTGAGGTGACTGACGTTCCGATATCAAAGTTAACCCGGAGTACCTTCAGCTTTTTAATTATTGTCTTTGGTCCGATCTATGCAGAATGAATCTTTCTTAAAAATAAAATAAATAAATCGTGATAAAATCCGTAAAAGTAGTTATAATCAATAATTTACGTTTTGTAAAGTAGCTCGGTAACGAATTGATTAGCGTACGTTTGGGGTGCTACGGAACCGCGATTTCGAATAAATGTATAGTTTGTTTGGTCTATAAATAATAGTTCCGAGTCTGACTGTTCATCTATGTAAAAGGAGACAAATTCTTTTTGTATGGAGAATGGGCTCACCATAAATTGTGGCGTAACTTAATGAAATGCGTGTCGATTTATTTCTTATGATCTACAGAATACAAAAGTAATATTCGTTTTACCGTATCTAACGGGAATACTGAGAAATTTGCAATTAAAATATGAATATCGCAATTACCTAAAAACAAAGTGAAAGCGATGATTGTCTAGTAGTTTTATACCGTTATTATAAATTAAAATAGTGCACTGGTCAATAATTAATAGTATAAAACAAAGCGTTAGATACATTCGGTATTTAGAGATACTTTAAGATTGATGGAAAATCATTTTAGTAGTTCGTTCTACGTTACACGCATTTTTTTCATATTAAATTAGATAGAACATAAATATCCACAACTCTTTTTTTTTTCAGAATGAATGATTCTGGTTAGATTTTCATAAAAAATTTAGGCCGTTAATTATAATAAATTGTTATCTTTTTTTTACGTGTAAAAATATTAAGTTACGTTACAATTTCTATTGGGTCTAAAAACGATTGTCTCCTTTTTTATGTAACACGTCTCTAAAACACATGTGTAAAACCTAATGTGGTGTTGGTGGTGGTGGGGGGGGTCCATTCAAATTCAAATTTATTTATTTGTGAATACAGGTAATGAGACAGAATAGATCTTATATACAACATGTAACATAATTAACGCACATCCTGGAAGTAGTTTGTTCAGTATCGTAATCGATTCCTATCATTTTTAATACAGGTAATTTTTTATCCCAAAAATAATTAAAACTACGTAAATTACAGTCACACTAAATCTGTACAGTCAAAACAAACTGAAATGGACCGTAACTTAAGGCAATAAGACTTTTAAGAGTGCAGTTTTATTTGTATTATTACTAATTCTGTCATTCAATAAAAATAAAGAAAAATGAACTTTATTTCAAGCACGTTAAAGTCTTTGCGTTCGTGGATTTGTACTGTGACCACAACATTCTTCCGGAATTAGTATAACTAATTTGATAAATAATCAGTGCATAAAAATTTTTAACTAAAAATTCAGTGTATGTATTATGATTATAACATAATATACTAATTGGGGTGTCTGAGGGTGTGCGTTAATTACGTTACATATTGTATATATGTTATATAAATATGTTCGCTGCATTCAACCTTTAGGTATACAAATATTACAGTTAGATACAATTAAATATATTACGTTTCCACAATTATTTCATTTTATTATTTATATTATAATTATATAAGAAAATACAACAATGGTGTAATAATTAATTAGAATGGGATATTTACAATAATATATAGTTTAATCGAATGTCAACTGAATTATATTTTTATACCTAATTATATTCATTATAATATGCCTACTTATGCGTCACTTAAATATTCATCGATTGAGTGTAGCATTTCTCAATTAGAAATGTTTTAAATTCTTTTTTAAATTTATGAATATTTTACATTTCATGAAACATAGATGGAACCTTATTATGGATTTTAGATAACATACCGAAAACGTTTTTTCTAAGTAAAAACTGTCTTTGATGAAATTTTATGAATTTTATTTTTACGTAGATTGTTTGTTATTACGTAATCATTAAATATTTCAGGATTAGTTTTTACAAATGTCACAACTTCATTAATATACCTTGCGGGAAATGTCAATAACTTAAATTTTTTAAATTGTGGTTTACAACTTTCTATACTCGATATACTTGCGATATGCATGCACACACTTTTTTTTGTGATTTAAAAATAATTCGTTCATTACATCCTATAAAAGTTCAGTGATGAATTTCAGGATTCCTCCTCTATAGATTGATTTTTAGTAAGAATTTTGCCACAGTTGCCACGCTGGGTAGGCAGGTTAGCAAACGTAATTTTTTTGAGTTGTTATCAGGAAGATACTGCTGCCCATCTCCTGTTTCAGTTATCTTTTTTTTTATAGTATAGGGTGACAAATGAGCACATAGTCCACCTGATGGTAAGTGGTTGCTGTGGCCCATACACATCTACATCTATTCTGGATTATGAATCAAAATGCAGATGCGTTGTCACCCATGAGGACTAAGATGGAATGCCTCGTTTCCAGTAAAAAAGGTTTCCGGTTCTCTACACTCACCATACAAAACACAGCAGCATTAAGCTAATATTTGACGCTGGTATTCTGTGAGATCGTGGTTTTAGACCGGTCTAGCCGACCCATTCGTGCTACAACTATACTACTAATATAGTTATAATGGACAGAAGAAAGTGGTGAAAGTGGTAGAGCCTAATTAGGCTCTACCACTTTCTTCTGTTACCTCTTACGACACCCACGGGATGATATGGGGTAGTATATTCTTACAGTATATTCTTACGCGATGTTTTCCTTCACCGCCGAGCACGTGGTAAATCAACACTTAAAATTGCAATTAACAATTTATTTGGTGCCGGCGGGGATCTAACCCGATTTTCTCGCGTGTGCTCAGAAAAATAACAAAAAAAAAAATATTTAGAAGATATGTGAAGTTTGCCAAAACGCATTGTTGCAGCGCGGCGGACACTTTCTTGCCCTAAAACCCTCTCAGAAATGAGGGGGAGGCCTGTGCCCAGCTGTGATTCGTATATAGGCTGTAACTATACTTTACTTTACTTATATACTTACAACGCCATTACACGGTAAATGTAGTGTTAATGTCTTTTTGGGACTATCGCTTCTAAAAAACAAAAGAAATAAAAAACAGCAGTGTCACCAAAAAGTGATTTTCTACAGCGTATAAAAGCTTAAGAAATATGATTATGTATGTATGTGTTTCCAGCCAGAAGGCGGTTACCAGTTAAAATGTTCGAATATTCTCGAAATTACTTGGATCTTGGAGAACAACTGGTCACCCATCGCCTCATTTCATCACCGCATGAAATTCGACTTGGAGTACATAAGTATGTAAAAATTTTATATCTTCATAAAATGACACACGGATATAAAAGCTTTCCTTTAGTTGAGAGATCTTCCATCTTAGCCATCCTTTCGTTTTTTTTATAGAAGAAAGGGCAAACGAGCATATGCTTCACCTGATGTTAAGTGACTACCGCCGCCCATGATCAACCGCAACACCAGGGGAATAGCAGGTGCGTTGCCGGCCCTTTAGAAAGGAGTAAGCTCTTTTCTTGAAGGTCCCCAGGTCGTATCGGTCCGGATAAATCGCCGGTGGTAAATTATTCCAAAGAGAAGTACGCGGAAGAAAACTACTTGTGAAGCGTACAGTGGTGGACCGCCAAGCATCCAGATGGTGTGGATGGTATCGGGACGTTTGTCGCGTAGTGCGTTCACGAAATAATAGTGAAAATAACAGGCGAATATTCGTTGCAATTCTAATAACCATAATTTTCTATCCGTTACAACCATATTTTAATCAGATTTAGTATTATAATAACCCTATCTAATTTATGTCTTATTTTATCATCTTATTCTATCTGTATAGGTAGGAAAAAACACCTCTGCATACCCTGATTGTGAGCCCTTAATGTGCAAACGTAATACTTGTCTGAAAAATGACATACTTAGCTCAGAAGAAGTGATATTGCGCATAGCTAAACAACTCCTTCAATTCATTGAAAATTTAGGGCTTAGCAATGAACTATAACCATAGCAGCGACTACAATAGATCTTATTGGCATAAGATATCTGAATAGCTGAATAATGATCTGAATAGTGTATTAGTATCACCGATATTTTCATATGGATATAGGTTTTTTTATAGAATATGGATAATAAACCAGTACACAGTCCACCTGATGGGAGTGGATGCTATGGTTGATTGACATCTACATCTATCCTCGATTAAAAATCACAATGCAGACGCATTATAACACTTGAGGACCAATATGGATGCCTCCTTTCCAGTAAAAAGTGGTCTTCGCTTGTCCACAGTCATCATACGAAATATAGCGGCCTTAAGCTGTTATTTTAAGCTGGTATTTTGTGAGAGCTTGGGTCTACCGTTTTAATTTCAAACTTTTAATAAAAAATATTTGTTTTTATTTTTTTGTAAAATACTGAATATATATATATATATATATATATATATATATATATATATATATATATATATATATATATATATATATATATATATATATTCAGTTCTACAAAAAAGTGTGAATAAACAAACAAGTATTTTAATTTGTTAATGTGTTTTTATTTCTTTTTTAGATGAATCGTATATAAAGACAGTAGCTCAAGCACACAAACAACTGTCCAATCCAAAGCTTGACACGGATGAGAGGACGTTATTGTTGGCTAAAATCATCAGCACATGCTTAGAAGCCCAAGGGCTGAATCACAGTGTACAAGAAAGCACAGAATCCGAGTCGGAGACAGTAAGAATAGAGAAAAGACGCAAGAGCTTAGACAAAGAACCGGAAATGCCGGTACCAAAGAAAAAGAAAGAGGATTGTGAAGTGATGGCACCACCAAAAGCACTCCCCAAGAAGCCTAAAGGCAAAGAAAATGTAAATCACAAAACCAGCAAAGCAGGGAAAAGAGTGAACAGTGAAATTGTTGATAATATTGAAGGAAAGAAAGCAAAGAATAATATCCCTGAGAAAGTATTAGAACCTAAGAATATAGTTAGTCACAAGAGAACTGCAAATGAAACAGAAAATACAAAGGTCAATAATGATATTAAAGAAATGTCGCGTAAAAACAAAAAGTCTGATAATTTAACTAAAGACAGAGAGTTAAAAGAAACTGGTAACGAAAATGTCAAAAATCCTAATAAAATGGAGAGGGAAAATAATAATATCGCTAAACGTAGTCTGAAAGAAATAGAATCAAAAAGACCTGCTAACACTCAAAATCAAAATAAGGAAAAAGAGGGCAAACCTAAGAACTTTAACGAAGGAAATAAAAAACCGGAAAAAGGTAAGAAATTAATTTCTGTTGAATATATTATTCCTAAAAAAGACGATACTAACAGAGAAAGATCTGGCAACACCGTGCAATCAACAAAATTAGCGGATAAGTTAAATATGAAAACCGTCAAAGAAAATGTACATACAAGTACCAAAGGTAAACAAGTTTTAGAACAAACCGAAGTAAAACATAAGACCGATAAATCTAAAAATACGCTTCAAGGTAACGATGATAATAAAAAAGAAAAAAATGTGGCCAAGGACAAAATTGTATCCAAACCTGTTAAAAATATCGCAAATGATAAAGTTCAGATGTTTAATAAAACGAAATCCTTAAAAGAAACCGTTGTGGAGAAACCTAAGAACATTGAAAACCAACCAATCAATGGTGGCAAGGAAGCTACCACAAAACATCATACATTATCTGGCAACACAGTAAATGCAAAAGGTTTAAAAACCCATCAAAATAAACCAAAAGCTTCTATTACAAAATCAATGAATAGCACGTTCATCAAAGCTCCCAAATTTGATAAACGTAATCCTAATTTGCAGACGTCGTCGAAAATACCGCAAACCACCAAGAAGTCGTCGAGCGCCGAGAATATACTCAAGAAGAATCCTTTGAGGATCAGTCCCAGTAAGTATCTTCATCATTCTGAGCACCACATTCTTGAAATGGGCCACTGTTTGGTTACCTTCACTAGCATTTTCTACTATATTGCTAACAAACATCCAGACCCAGAAACATAATTTTGTAGGCCATACAAATACTTTTTCCGTGCGAGATTTAAACCAGGGACAAAAGACATTTAATTGTATTGAATTGTAGTAGTAATAGACCGGACATCAGCAGCAAAATTGTCGTCTCTAACTTTTGTCCTATAGGATATATCTCCGATATTTGTCATTTAGTGTAAGTGACATCACCGAAAGGTCAAGACGCAATCGTTTCAAAATTTTTAAAGATATTTTTAAAGAAAATATGCCCGGTTGTGTATTAAGGTAGAGTAAGTCACGATATGGAGCAAAAAATGAACATGATTTCGGTTTATTATCCTAAGAATAATGTATATATTTACTAAATAATCTTTAAATTTTATTATTTCTGGCAGATTGTTCTAGAAGAAAGAAAAATTATTGTAATAAGTGTCTCTGTTATCCAGTATCGTCACTATTTATTTACAAATATGTTAGTAATTGACGACGTGCCTAAAACCGATTTTCACCTTATATTTAGAAGCGTCACCTAATGGGAAATAGATAAAATGTTTTCTAAATAAATATTCAGCGTAGTATTGCTATTTTTCGCTAGAGGGCTTAAAACACGCGCGTGCTCTCAGTTTTTGTATGCAAATGTTCGCAATGTCCGCTCTATAGTATATATATATTTAAATCTCTTTGCCCGGGACCCTCACGCTTAGCATACAACTAATCCGTCATCGGCCGAAGTTTGCTCGGGCGATGACGGCCGAACTCGGACGATCGAATCAAACACTTGTAAAACAAAGAGAGCGCGTACATAAACACGACCGTCATCGTCCGATAACGCACGGAAACGGCCGATCGACCGACGAGTCCGAACTTGTAGGGATTTCTACAGTGCAAATTGAGTGTATTTATAGTTTAATTTAATCTGTGGCCGTAGAAGGTAAATGGGAGATCTCCCGCCGGGCAAGGTGTTCTGCCCGGGAGCGACCAACACTCCGTGTGATAGTTTTTTTTTTTTTTTTTGCGCCCGAAGCAATTAAAGGGCTACCCTATACGTAGGGAGGCGGAAAATGCATTACGCATACCACGATAGCCGGTCTATCGTGGTTATGAGGGGCTCACTGTCCTACCGGGGACCCTAAGTGATACCCTCTAAAAACCGCCTTTGGGGACAGGCAACCGGCTGATTAAGCTCTATTGTGCCTTATCATGAGCGACCCTCTTTTGGGAAAAGAGGGCGCAGGCGGCTAAGTGCCGCTGAGGGAGTGCCTACGAAGGCAAATCAATGTTAGTTATTACAATAATTTTATTTAATTAGAGTTGGCCTGAGCTGCCAGGTCGTTTGAAAGTTTATTAGGCGGGTCCGAGAGAGAGTTTCTCGGCCTGCGGACACGATAGCGAGAGGGGGGAGGGGCTGCATAAGAAGCTGCCTCACGAATTAAATGGTTTGGGTGCGACTCTGAGGCTTTGGAGAAGTTCTCAGAGAGTTTTTTAAAAAATTGTTGAATTGTTGGGAGCTCTAAGTCCCGATGAAGGTCGGCATTACGGACGTACCAAGGTGCGTTCGCAGCTCGACGACAGAAGAGGTTCTGAACTATTTGGAGTTCATTTAAAATATTGGGGTTTGCGTGGGCAAAGACGGGGCCCGCGTAGGACTTGACTGGTCGTATACAGACCTTGTAAAGGGTACGCTTGTTTCGAAGGGACATTTTACTGTGTCGGCCCAACATACTGTTGAGCCTACTCAGATAAAATCGTGCGTGACGGGTTACTCTTTTGACGTGGGGCTTGAAAGTGAGCCCTGTGTCTAGAGTGACACCTAAATATTTGGCGGACGTATGCCAGGGGACAGGGGTCCCTAGCATACGTATTGGTGGAGTGTTTTTGAGATGGCGTCGTTTATAATCGAAGTGAACGGCGGAGCTCTTCTCCGGGTTCACATCGATGCGCCATTTTTTGAACCAAGCTCCTAGGTCATCAACTGACTTTTGGATCTTGTTCCGTATGAAGGGTAGTGAGACACCTTTGCAGTAGATGGCAGTGTCGTCTGCGAAGAGGGAGAGTTGAACACCTTTCGACGGGATGGGAATGTCGTTGGTGAACAGGATGTACAGCAGAGGAGCAAGTACTGAGCCCTGAGGGACACCAGCCTTGATAGTTTGCTGTGAAGAAAGCGTGCCTTCGTGTCTAAAACGAAAGGTACGATGTTTTAAATAGGAGGCCACGAGACGAACTAGACGATCGGGTAGACCTATTTTATAGAGCTTGTAGATGAGGCCTGTGTGCCAGACTCTATCGAAAGCTTTAGCTATATCGAAAAAGACCGCGATGGTCTTATGACGACGAGGATAGAAACCGCTGAGGATATATTCCACAATGCGGTGGACTTGTTGGGGACATGAGTGTTTGGCTCGGAAACCGAATTGATGGGGAATGATAAGAGGGTCGCCGTCTGTGGGAAACAGATAGCGCCTCATACGAGTTTGGATGACTCTTTCGAAGAGCTTGCCCATTGCCTTGAGGAGGCTAATGGGGCGATGGCTGGAGGGGGAGGTTGAGAGGCTTGCCTGGCTTGGGAATTCCAATCACAGTTGCCTCTTTCCACGTAGTGGGAAAATAACTAAGGTTGAAGCAGGCGTTGAAGATAATAGATAAAAAGGTTAACACCGGCTCGGGAAAGTGTTTTAGGGCTTGCTTGGAGATGCCATCCGCGCCCGGAGCCTTTTTAGGCTTAAGTCCTTTGATGAGGGATGAAATCTCATCATTGGACACAGAGATAGGTTTGGAGGCCGTAGGGGGTGAGTTCCGGCGGCGGACCTCATCCTCCACTGCCTGGACGTGTGAGGGGTCGACGGGTTGAGAACTAGGAGAGCATTGAGCGGCAATGCTATCTGCAAAGCACTCGGCCTTTTCCTCGTCCTCGAAGGCAACCGTGCCGTCGGGACGGGAGAGAGGGGGAGTGTGTGTGATAGCGTCTATGCGGAGGGCTCTAGCCATCTGATAGTACGCTGTGTGAGATGGAGAGATATTCTCCATGAGCTTACTCTTTTCGAGATCTTGAAATTAAGAGAGGCGGAAGCGGAGTTTTCGTTGAAGACGATTGGCCGCGCGCCTATATTCGGGGGTGGGATATTTTGCTGCTCTCCGGAAAGCAGCTTTTTTGGCTTTTAATAGGTTGCTAATATGTAGGGGAAGCCCACTATTGTTAGCAACCGGGACGACCCTTTCGTTCTCCTTAAGGGAGGATTTAATAAGGGTGGAGAGTGAATCGACCGCGGTGTCGATTTTTTCGGGACTGTCTAAGTCCGACGGTGTGGGGATGGTAGAATCCTGTGAGTCCAGAGCTTTAGCTAGGGACTCCTTGAATCCCTTCCAGTTAGTGAAGGTTTTCGTGTGTGTTGGGGGAGGTGGCTGATGGCCAAGAATGAGGGAGACCGGTCGGTGATCTGATCCTAGATCGTCTAGTGTCTCGATTGCTCTGAGGTTGAGAGAAACTCCTTGGAGTAACGCAAAATCTAACACATCGGGTGCGTGATCGGTGTTATCGGGAAAGTGAGTGACACCGAGAGGACTATGAACGGTAATATCAAGAGACTGCGTGATATCGAGCAGTATCTTGCCACTAGGGGACGTAGTGCGGCATGTCCATTCAGTATGCTTGGAGTTAAAATCTCCAAACATAATGATTGAATTGCCCAAGGATAAAATGGCCTCAAAATCTTTTTTGAGGGGATAGGTTCCTGAAGGGATGTAACAGGAGGCTATGAGGATGGACTGATGTCCAGCCATAGCTAGCCTGCATACCGTGGCTTCCATGTTGGTAAGCTGCGGAGTAGAAATGGGCGAGCAATGAAGTGTCTTCTTGTAATAGATGGCCGTTCCGCCGCCTCGGCGGTCGGGTCTGTCATTACGAAGAAGAGAGAAGTTTTTAATAGAAAGGCCTCTAGTGTCCTTAGCTTTGAGATTAGTTTCCTGTAGGAGGAGGAAATCGACTTCACGATTTCGAAGAAAGAGCTTAAGCTCTGGGAGGTTATTTCGCAAGCCGCGAATATTAAATGATACAAGCGATAAACCCTTAGGTTTGATACGACCGTGGGATCTTGGTAGGTTAATTTGCTCAGACATTGGAGTTAAGTTAATTAAGTTAACCTAACTTACAACGCTAGCAGAAGATCGTTGTGTTCAGCAAGAGCGAGGAGACGCTCTTGAGGGTACTTCGCCGCGCGCAGTTTGCGTGCTATAACGGTGATCTCCCTTACATCGATATTCCTAATCGCGGAATCTAGCGTGTTGTAGTCGTCGGGTGTGGGCTCTGCCTCGTGTGCGTACGAGGTTGTCCGCGGTGGGTCTGCCTTTTTGGGCCCCCAGGGAAAGACTGGAGGCTGCATTGGCTTGGAGAAGCCCGGAGGGGGCCGAATTATGCCCTGAGGGGGCCTAGGGGGACCCTGAGGGGGCCTAGGGGGACCCTGAGAGGGTCGAGGGAAGCCCTGGATAGGCTGAGAAGGGCCCTGACGGGGCCGTTGTTGGAGGGCCGGAAATGATCGGTCATTCACCGGCGGTGGAGCTTTCCTACTGGGGCGAGGTTGAGGTGCGCATGGGCAACCCTTGTAGTTCGCCGGGTGTCCTTTCTGGTTGCACAGGACACAGGCGGGCGGGGATTCGGCGTCTTTGGGCCGGGGACACTCTTTAGTGTTATGAGGTTCCAGGCACTTCACGCACCTGGGTGGGGCGGAGCAGTTGGCCGCCGCGTGACCATAAAGTTGGCAGCGGTGGCACTGCGCTGGGAAACCGGGCCTATGTGGGGTCTCTACCTTCACCCTTGACAGGCCGCACATTGTGCGCACCTGCCGGAAGATGGCTTTAGCCTCCGGCACGTTTGTCAGGATTACTAGGGCAAGGTTGTATCTCTTGCCCGTTCTATTGTGCATTTTGTGCACTGCTTCTACGGGGAAACCTTGGGACTTAAGGTCCTCGAGGATTTCCTCGTTAGAGAATTCGAATGGGACGCCTCTGATGACGGCCCTAACTTTACGCTCTTCAGG